CTGCCCGAGAACGTGTAGGAAAGATACGCCGGAAATACTCCTATAGGATTTTTAATTGTTTAGGTTTGGTTCCTTAAAACCCTTTGGATCGTTAGATGGTAAGTTTCTAGATTCATTGCCCACCACGATCACTCCCAAGCACATGTTGGTCATATTTTGAATAAATATAATTGATCATGCTATATTTACCTCCAATACGCTTACGTAACTACCCGGGTTTAACCGTAATGTTCAATTCCTCTAAAGACTTTTATTGTTTCTTATTGTGACAGTACTCTAAAATGTACACATAGGTATGTATTTTATTTTTGTTCAGAGTATTTTTGTCTCAGTGTATTATAGTTGCATATCTTGTATGATTTAGATATGCCAGTTCACTATAAACATTGCTCTGATACCAATCTGTCACACCCTCGAACCAGACAACGAAAACGTCCGGGGGCGGGTGACTTCATCTTGTAATATCATCACAGTATATATAAATGAACCATAGACAAAATCATCACCATACATTCAATAATAAACCATTATGGGTTTACATCATTGTATTTGTTCACAAAATTATATGCCAAAATATTAAACGTATGATGGAAACAAATATTACATCAAAAGTCCACATGTTCTTGATGACCGACCTGGTTAACGACTCCCTGAGAATACAAGTTATTTTGAAAACATCAACATATATAATGTTGGTGAGTTCATAAACGTGTTTGTATGAAAATTTTTGTATCAATTGTAAACACCAAAAAATCCGATATTTTCTGTTGAAAATGGTTTGAGAGTTTTATTTCAAATCTTATATTAAAGCATGTGTGTTCATGTTTTTGAGAGTGTATAAAATGAGAGCTCTAGAAAATCCGATATTTTCTGTATTAAGTAAATGGTAATGTATAATGTATTTCCCAGAAAATCCGATATTTTCTGCTTGTAAAAGTGTTGTGGTCTTAAAACCCTAAGACCGAAAAATGGTGTTTGTATGATTTCGTAACAACATTAAAGTATATGTATTTCGTAAATTTACAGTGTTTGTTAATCTCTATGTGAGTAGTTATCATTATACTTGATGTGACTGATATGTTTGTCATGACGTTCTTCAGGCGTCGCTTGTTTAAGGTAAGATATTTGACACCCTAGACTAACCTAGTCTAGCTGTAGCAAACAGCTCAGGTGTGGGGTGTCAACCCCGTATAGATCTATACACAAACTCTCGCTCTCCCTCCAGGACACTAGGGTTATAACTACAGGACTTAAGGTTGTATACTAGGTAGGTACGGATGAAGGCGTGTCTCACAAGAGCCTTAACTTAATTTACGCGAATTTAAAATAATGTTTGGAGTAGGGATTTGATTACAAAACATTGGAGATGAAAATACCATTTGTTTTTATCAAATTGTAGAGTATTGTTTTTATTAGCTCGATTAACATAAAATGTGTCGTGAGGCTCAATAAGAAAATCAATGGGCCTATAAGCCCCAATAAACATGAAATAAGTATATAAAACCCAATAAACATGTATTTAAGTATAACAGGCCCAATAAACATGTAATGAGTATAACAAGCCCAATAAGCATGTTATGGGTGCAACAAGCCCAATTAGAGTAAAAATATCGTAAAGAGCCCATTTATTATGAAAATGATTGTTTTAGTCTGATTTTTGCTAAAAATGACATAAACGACCCACTTTTCTTAGAAATGACCTTTTTGGCCCAAGTAATCGAAAATTTTAATAAAGGCCTACTTTTGTCAAAACTTAATAATTTGGCCCACTAAAGCCAAAAATTTACAATAAAGGACCATTTTCATTTCAAATGACATTTAAGGCCCAATGAAACCGGAAGTTTCTAAATTAGGCCTATCTTTGATAAAAATGACATTTTCGGCCCATTAAGCCGAGAATTCACATTGTAGGCTCATTTTTTTTTTCATAAAAATGACATTTTAAGTCCATTAAGGCCAAAAATTTACATTTTAAGCCCATGAACCGTGAATTTCCAAATAAGACCCCTTTTATGAAAAATGACCATTTTAGCCCATTAATATCGTGAAGGCCCAAAAGAAGTCCATTTTGTAAAAAATAACACTTTTGACCTCTACAAAACCGTGAATGTCATTAAAACCCATTTTTATCCAAAAATGATTGTTTTGGTCCTCTCAAAACCGTGAGTTATCATAGAAGGCTCACTTTTTGTTTAATTGTCAGTTATGGCCCCTCATTAGCTTTTCTTTAGTATTTCAAGTATCCTTTAACATGTTTTATCTTTTCAACGTCATAATTAGTTACATAAGGTAATCTTGTTTTCCTAAGATCTTCAAGACTTAGAGATATATCGAGTTCGTGAGTATTAAACATAGTTTCATAACATATTAACACAACATATTATTAAAATACACACAATATGCATAAATACTTGATCTAACACAAAACCAACTTGTATTCTCCCCCAAAACATAGTAAAACCCGAAAAAATAGGGGGTATGAAGGTCACCTTGGTGATGGATTCGGTTTTAATGAAGAAATGAAAGAGGGAGAAGGTGTTTTCTGCCTTGGATGGTTCTTTGAGATGAGTTTTCAAATTCTAGGAGGTTCTAAGAGCATGATAACGAAAACAAGGTGTTTATGAGGAATGATCTAGCGTAAAATGGAATAATTCAACTTGAGTTTAGTTTAAGACTTACCAAGTGCATGGAAGGCTTCAAGAGGATTCTTTGAACATACACTCTAATTCATGATTTTTAGTAGGTAAGGATGAGATAAATTTTTAATAGTCTTTGAGAGGAATTATGGAGTGTTTGCAGTTTGAATGGAGAGTGGAGAGGGCCAAGTTTTAGAGATAGAGATAGAGATAGATAGATAGATAGATAGATAGATAGATAGATAGATAGATAGAGAGAGGGAGAGAGATACTAAACCTTGTTATTTGTGGGATAATCACCTTCCAAGAAATATGAGGTTTATCATAGATACATGAAGGTTAAACATTTGTTGTCATGCACATGTTTAATATTCATCCATTCTCTCTTTTTCTTTTTCTTTCTTTCTTCTTCTTTATTTATTTTATTTATTTAGTTATTTTTTTTTAAACCGAGAATAGGAGAGGGAGGAAAAAATATAGATATTGGACTTGGATTTGGTGTGTGGCCGTGACCCCATTAGGCTCAATAGGGTTTTTGGTTTAGAAGCCCAAGATAAATAAATTTTGAGTCCATGAAAGCTATATGCATGAGTTTTCGGCCGAATAGGGCCCATTAGGAGTTTTCAGCCTTTGAAGGCCAAATAAGAGCTCCAATATTAATTTGCGGCCGATAAGGTTCAAAATGTTTACTGCCCAATAAGGCCCATGATGAGTTTTATGGTCCAATATCTTATTGTTTAATAAATGTGGTTCCAACTAGGGCCCAAATGGGGATTCTTAGTCCAAAAGAATCAAGTTGATGGGTTACTGGCCCATTAGGCCCAATAAGAGAATCTTGATCCAATAATAGGTTTGAACAGGGAAGCTAGGGTTTCAAACCTAGAGTTGAGTGTACGTAGAGTATTGAATTAGGTTTAGGGCTTCACGAGTGAGTTTTGATTCAAATTGTTGTTTTTGAACGAACCACTTGTATTGTATCAACATTAAGGTTACAAGATATGCTAGAAGTTACTTACACATGGACAAAATTTTCTAGCCCTAAAATGCTAGTTGTGACATAATCGACATGTTTCCTATTTACTGGTTTTAGAGTTTGTTTAGGATTGTTTGTAAGGCTATTATATGAAGTCATCTACATTTCTTATTTATTCATTCCTCCATCTACATGTCTTATTTATTCATTCCTCCATCTTTTATCTCCTATTTATGTGGAGATCTATCACCAATATAATCTCTCAATAAGAGTATCGTTTTTATAGTGGTTTTTCCTAATTTGGGTTATTTACTCCATATCGTTGTTGTTCTTTATTGCTTTGTTTATCTTTGTGGTTGTTCTATTACGTTTTTTCGCATTAATATTTGATTTATTTTATAACAAGTGCTATCAAAGCTCATTTATTTGTATAACAAGTGGTATCAGAGCGTTCAACGATCAGAATCAAAACTACATATTGTTAGAGTTTCTGGGCCGTTTATTCTTCTGTTAGTGATCAGTTTTTTTGGCCGTTATTCTTCCATTGGTGCTCGAGTTCCTTTTTTGTTACGAGCTTATCAGGATCCTTACCTATTCTTTTCTGAACATTTTTTTGATCATTTAATTTTACAAAAATCTATCAAATATTTTTTTCCTAGATGACATCATCATTTTTTATTCTCTAGACGATTCCTATTTGTTGAAGTGTGGCTGTTTTAAGGTAAAAATTACAACCACTACTTTCTTGAATCAAAAGGGTTTCTTTGCCGATCTTCTTCATTCAACTTTTACAAGAAACTCATCAGAGCATTAAAGGAATCCGTACCTACTTGCTCTTTCTTTTCTTGCACCCTAAGTGTTTATCACTTGATCGTTATCTTTGTGATTGTTGACATGGTTTCCACCAGATTACTGCTGGCCGTTTTTCTATACTAAAAAAAATATTAATGCTTGTCGATCTTCTTCCGATCGTTTTGATATTTTGTTAAAACGTTATACCGCGTTATACATCGACTTTTCTTGAGGTCTTAAATCATCGATTAAATCCCTATATAACGACATTTTGGAAGCTTTAATTCCGACCATGGATTCACTATGTTATTAGGCCGTGTTACAACTAGTTTGATATTTTATTTAACCAATCACAACCACACAATTGATTATTTTCCAAGCGCATATTAGAGACACTAGAGCACTTTTCATGTTTGGATTCGACCACTTTAATCTATCTTCACTGTTTACAAATTGATTCTGTTTTTCCAATCCAGGTATATCAGTTTTCAACTTTTATAAATTGATTTTTCTAGTTTCTATAAACCGATTTTCCTTTAGACTTCTTATAAAGGTTATTTAAATTTTTTTTTTTTTATGGCTAAATTCAAATCGAAATTATGCATTGGATAATGGCACAAGCTAGGTTTTTTCTTTTGGGAAGTAAAGCTGATAGGTTTTATGGCTCAAATTATCGCCCAAGGTAATTATGATGATGCCTGGATTATTTTGGAGGAAAAAGATGTTGGGAATCATTCACAAGTAACGAGACTTCATTGTGGATTGAACTCTTTTGGATTTAACGATTAGTCTCTTTTCTATTGCCAGTTTTAAGAGGTTTTTCGACTTTAGGAGTCTTAGGATCTCGAGATCCTATTACTGGGTGCTACTAACAGACCCGAGTTACTAGATTCTGCTTTGATGAGACCGGGTCGGTTTTCCAGGAAAGTGGTTGTGGGTAAACCAGATGAAGATGGAAGGAGAAAGATTTTTGCTTTATATTTACAAAAGGTGCCAATGGAGGAGGACAAACAAGTCATTTGCGACCTTGTTGCTTCATGTACACTAGGGTTAGTTGGGGTTGATATTGAAAATATAGCTAATGAGGCTGTAGTGCTTGTTGCTCGTAGAGGTTTGTGCTAATTGCTAAACATAACATTCACTTAAGTGTTTAGATATAACAATGTCTTGATTATGTTTGTGTATGTTTTTGGTGGTGATTTTGTGACCAAGAAGGATGTTCTTGAAGCTGTTTAGAGGGCTACAACAAAGATTTGTAACAATGATACTAACGGTGAAGCTAAATCACCGTATTTGTTTGGACAAATGGCATTAGAAAGCATGCATGCTTGGGGATGCTAATTTCCAGCTAATCATCTACAGGAGTTGTTCAAGATGGAGAATTCGATTTTGGTGTTATTAGATTTCATATATATTTAGCTTGTTAGTACATAGATCTTTTAGTATAATTAATTCTATTTTCACAGAGGCTAAATTTTGTTTTTCACATTTTTTGTACCAAGCCAAAACAGAGGCATGCCAAAGGTGCAACAAAAGTATGTTGCCCTAATTGTAAAAGTCTAAAAAAGTCCAAGTTTCACATAATGATAAACTTCCATGTATTGATAATCTTTTGTTCCATCTTTTTATATGTAATTCATTCATGCTTCCAAGTATGACAAAATGATGAACTATCTTTTTATAAGCTTTTGATTGTATAATGTTGAAATGTTTTATAGTTAAATTGACTATTTGTCTGATTTTATGTAAGAATTCTGGAAATTTTAACAAATAGTAGGGACACGATATAAATTGTGTCTAAACACCTATGTGGACGACAAGTCGTCGCTATAGGTGCACTTGTGAGGACGACATTTCGTCTGTTTAGGTGTACCTATCGCGACGAAGGTTATGGTGATGACTGATGACAAAATGAACTAAAGCGCTAGAGGTAAAGCGACGAGGCCTATGGTGAGGACATGTCGCCCCTCACATCAATAGCGACAACCCCTAAAGTGACGTTTTTTGTTGTTCCTATATGTCTTTATTCTTGTAGTGTTGCGTTGAGTTTGTAGGTTTATATCCGTTAGCATTTTGGTGATTTGATTTATCACCATTTTCTGTTTATTTTGTATGAAAGAGTTTTAGTCCATATAGACTTTGGCACTTCTTATTTTTTAACTCATGTCTTCTGAAGTTTGAAGATTTTTTTGTTGAACATTGGTTTCGTCTCAAAAGGGAGCTTGTTAATAATGATCCTAAACCTTATTTGTTTGGCTATCAAGTTAGGTATCTAATTGGAATAGTTCCTATTTACTAATTTTAGAGTTTGTTTATGATTATTTGTAAGGCTATTACATAAAGTTATCTACATGTCTTATTTATTCATTCGTCCATCTTCTTTTCTCTCCCATTTTCGTGGAGACCTATCGACAATGGAATCTCCCAGTAAGAGTATCATTTTCATAGTTGTTTTTCTTGATTTGAATTTTCCGCTCTAAACTATTAGTGTTCTTTGTTGCTTCGTATCTCTTTGTGGTTGTTCTATTACGATTTTTCGCATTAGTAGTTGACTTATTTTTATAGCAAGTGGTATCAAAGCTCGTTAATTTATAAGAATTTATATAACATAATTTTATCGTTCCAAAAAAATTGCACGATTAGTATTAATCAAATTTTAAGCGATAGACTTACATTGATTACCCGGTAAACAAATAAAATGTTATGATTAATAAAATTTTCACAACTAATTTCATTTAAAAAAAGATTCACAAAAGAAATTTAAGAAATTTTTTTTATAAATCTTTTAGATTAATTAATATATTAGTATTCAATAATATAAAATTATTGAACTAACTTATTGAGATGGATAAAAAGATATATGAAAAGGTTTAAAAGAGAATGCCCTTATGAAGTATGGTTCAAAAAACGATTTATAATAAGGATGATAATAAAAAGATTTACAAAAATACCTTTTAAAAGAAACTATTATTAACTAATCCATGTCTTAAAGTAAGACTGATCACTAGATACTATGTTATAATTCATGAAAACCACAAATAAAAGATTAATAAAATTATATTAAAATAATAAGATATAAATTTTATTTAAACTTTTATTTTGATTAAAAAAGATCATGACATGTCAAATAACTAGATGTTATGTATGTTATGTGGAAAATTTTTTATTTTCAAATAATATTCTAGTCTTGAAAAGTTAAAATAGTTATTTAATACAAAAAATTGTCTTTTTTTTTTCTTTATCTTTCAAACTTCCGGACCATGGTTATTTTTGCTAAAAAAAAATTTGGTTATTTTCTTCAAATACACTTCAAAAATTGGTTAGATTACTTAATTTTCCTTTATAAATTTCACAAGAACGGTTTTTAAAGCTTTATTAATCTCTTCAAATAAAACATATTATGGATGCTTTGTGTTCCAAATAAAATCATGTTTTTATTTACAAGTTATAATCAACGTTCATAATATTTGTAAAAAAGCAATTGATATAAAATCAACTTAGATGTCCTCTTTTGCAACAACAAAAAATTATCCTAGATATATCTTTCTACAACAAAGAAAACATAAGATGAAAGGAAAAAACATATAAGTAGCCTTTGCAGACAATGGAAAACAACCAAGCTATCCTATTTACACATCCTTAGCTAACAAAGAGGCTAGGTCTCAAAAGGTATGTAGATCAAAAAGATAAATTCTTTTACAATATAATACAGAAAAGCAAAAGAAGTAAAGTCTTGTCCTTTTTTGTGGGTTTGAAGTTTTTTCTATAAAATTCCTAATTCATGTATAATAAACCTTGTTGTAAATACACATATCATTCATAGATAGAATATTATAGTTTATGCAACAACTCATCAAAATCAATAAGACTTCTATGTTATGTCAGTCTTGTTAGTTGGGAAATCACGTTCACTTACCTTTTCAATTATCTAATAATAATGCTACTTTTGCTTTTGAAATTGTACGTTCTGATGTTTGGATATCTCCAATCCTTAGCAATGTTGGTTTTAAGTATTATGTGTTATTTCTTGATCAATTCACCCATTTTTTATGGGTTTACCCTCTTAAAGCAAAATCTAAAGTTTTTGACAAAATTTTCTACTTTCGGTCTCATGTCATCAATCACTTTCAATCTGAGATCAAATACTTTCAGTGTGATAATGGAGGTGAGTACAACAATCACCAATTTCATAACCTATGTAATTCTCATGGCATCCAAATGCGATTCTCATGTCCTTATACTTCCCAACAAAATGGAAAGTCTAAAAGAATGATACGAACAATCAACAATACCATTCGTACTCTTCTATTTCAAGCTCGTCTTCCTCAACCTTTTTTTTGGATAGAAGCACTTCTCATGGCCACCTACCTCATCAACATCACACCAAACACAACTTTGAAAAATATATCTCTATATCAAAAGTTATTTCTAAAAAAACCCAACTATTCCCACCTTCAGGTTTTTGGGTGTCTTTGTTATCCTCACATCCCTACTAATCACAAACTATCTTCCCGATCCACTCTATGCATTTTTCTTGGGTATCCTGATCAACACAAAGGGTACCAGTGTCTTAATCTTCATACAAATTCAATCATTATTTTGCGTCATGTTACATTTGATGAGACTATTTTCCTGTTTGGTTCCTTCAGCTCCATCTTATTCCTTTTTAGATTCATTAAACACTCATAATTCCACTGCCACCATATTTCTCTATTCTCCAATTCCATCCCTACCTACTAATCACAATCTTGACACCTCTATCTCTAGTCTCAATATTCCTACTTCTCCCACCGAGACCACCAGTTTGACTCCTATCTCTACAGATTCAACTCCAAATCCTCCCCCATGCTTTCTAGTTCACTTCCCAGTCAAACTATTTCCTCCACTCGTCCTATGATCACACGTTCTCGTCACGGTATTGTCAAACTTGTCCATAAACTTAATCTCCTCACTCAATCCGTCTCATCTACTCCACGAAACTACTTACAGGCTATTATTCACTCAAATTGGCTAAATGCCATGAAGGATGAATTTAATGCTCTTATCTCTAATAAAACATGTGTTTTGGTTCTGAAACATGCTGATACAAATATTGTTAATTGTATTTGGCTGTTTAAAAAGAAGGAGCGTGCAGATGGTTCATTAGCTCGATATATAGCTCGTCTTGTGACTAATGGTCATAGTCAAAGATTTGGGATAGATTGTGATGAAACATTCAGTCCGGTGGTTAAACCAACTACGATACACACCGTTCTTTCTCTTGCTGTTTCTCAGAATTGGCCTATACGTGAACTTGATGTTAAAAATGTCTTCTTACATGGACATCTTCAGGAAACCATGTATATGCATCAACCGCCTGGTTTTTGAGACTCTGGGTTTCCTATTCACATGTGTCTCCTTAAAAGGTCATTATATGGTCTTAAATGGGCACCACGAGCATGGTTCCAACGATTTGAACAATTTTTGTTAGGATCTGGTTTTACCAATAGTAAATGTGACAATTCTTTGTTTATATATCACTATGGTCATCGCACGACTTATCTTCTACTCTATATAGATGACATCATTCTTATAGCTTCCTCATCTGAGACGTTTCAACAGATCATCACCACTCTTGGATCCGAGTTTGCCATGACAAATCTAGGTGATCTTAATTATTTTCTCGGTGTTTCTGTAGCTTGTTACTCTCATGGTATGTTCTTATCACAACATATATATTCTCTCAAAATACTTACTTGAGCAAACATGCTAAACTGCAAACCTGTTATGTAACAACGTGAATTTTCAAAACAATTTTTCATTTTTCAAATAACATAAAACTCATTCAATATTCTTAAATATCCAATTTAACAAATTCCATCATGATAAAACATATCCCAAGATCATAAAATAAATCTTCTGCCAGTGTGTACGGATCATGCCGACGCCTTCCCACGATCATCGCTAGTGCCTGAAACACATAACACATAACACTATAAGCATAAATGCTTAGTGAGTTCTCCAAAATACCACATACAACACATACGCCACTCAAGTCCATAACTCTATTGGATCTTCCGATCCATGTGTCTCAGGGGTCTTCCTTCCCAACTCTGGTAGACCTTCCGGCCCTAATCGTATGA